ACTGGGAGGAGAAGTGTGGGCTGGGGCCACCCGGACTCAGTCTCAGGAGGAATATGCAGGGGCTGATGGGCGTGGGTGGGTTAACAGAACGGATGGTGGCACCTTCCCCATCATGAGAAAGGGTGTCAGGGATATAAATGGGCTGAGTGAAGCACAGTACATATCACTTACTTTTTCTGAAGTGTAATTTCGAGAATGGATTATATAATTTAAACCCCAGGAGATAAATTATATCCTATTGACTGAAACAACTAACTGGCAGACTTGCAAAAAACAACAATAACAAAAAACACCACCACCAAACTGTAATAAACAATGAATAGTTTCCATTCTTGTTTTGAATGAACCTCTAAAATGCACAAAGCAAAATGTTAGAGGAATACATTTCCAGATGGTTATGTGTTGTTCTTGTTATTTTTTATTCAATAACTAGAGGCCTGATACACAAAATTTGTGCAAGAGTAGGCCTTCCCAGCCCCAGCGGCTGCCGGATGCTTTGATCCCTCGCAGCCACGGCGGCTGCAGCCCCAGCTTTGTCCGGAAGGTTGTCCAGACGGTCATTCCGCTGTTCGGCCTGTTCAGCCGTCCAGTCTATTAGCATATTACGCTTTTATTATTATAGATTCTTTCTGACAGTGTGCTGGGTGTAGGGCACCATACTAAGCAGTGGGGAGTATCGAAAGGTAGAAGCACCAGTCCCTGCCTTTTGGTTGCTTTTGACCTTGAGGAGTTAAGATAGGAGGATAAGGAAAATTCTATATAAGCCAGGCCCACGGGAGTTAAGGTTTTGGCAGTTTTGGGAAGGAGGCTCCACTTCTCCTGGCTTGATTTGGAGACAGACTTTCTGAGGGATGAGGACTAAAGATTTGAAGGAGACCTTGAAGGACGAGGACGATTTGAAGCACCAAAAGGAATGGTGGAAGTTTCTTCAGAGGGGTCAGTGGGGCGAGGTGCAGGGGCCGTTAGCTGCAAGGAGACACGTGATTAGAGTGCCTGAGCTTCCTGATGAGTAGAGGAGCGAGCTGGACGGGTGAGAGGGGCCGAGTTGGGAAGGGCCTGGACTCTCAGACTAGAGAATTTGCATTTTATAGATATGGTTTCCCCAGTTGACCAAGCGAGCTCGGTGCCAAGATTGTGGTGTACATTTAAAAGTGTCTGGGAATGGATCGCTCTCGGTGGATCTTATAAAATGCCTTTGTTAATAGTTGAAACTTAGAAGACAGTTTGCTCAGGGGAGAATCCCAACCTTTCTAAGTACAAATAGCTCCCCAGACTCTCAGCTGGAGTCCACGGGGAGACTCAAGGCCTAGCATAGGATGTGCAGAGACCAAAGCACCACACGCAGGGCAGAAGCACAGAGGAGTGCCCGCCCGGAGCAGGCCACCATGGCAGAATCCTGTTTTGCTAAAGATAATATTGCATCTGCAATGCCATTTCATTTTCAGTCTCTGCATATGACCATGGGAGTCACTTATATCGGAGTCCTTGTAAAGTCTCTCATGTTACAGGGCACCAGCTCAGTTACTTTAGTTTGAACAGCCAAGCACTATTCGGAGAAGACATTGTAGACTGAAATGACCTCAGTCAGTGCTATTTTTATTTGCTCATAGAGGTGTGCTGACATGGTGAACAACAAAAAGAGGCAAAGAAAGTTTCTGTTATTATTCCTGGAGGTCTGATTTGCAAGTGCAGGTGCTGGATAGAATTTTGCACATGCCTTTGAAAGCAGCACAGTGGGTCTTTTTATTGTGGATGTCACAAATATACACCTCGGGATAAAAGGAGCACATCTCTCTAACCTAATATGACTGGAACTCGGGGGTTGTAATAAAATGTCCGGGGAGGGTAGATTCAGAAATCATTTCTCTAACAGTTGATACGGATGGGAAGATGTACTGTTGGGAAAACTGTGTGATGACTTACGGTTTGGGTAGAAATGGAGGGTCTGGTACTCCATTGGCCAACGCTCGCTGGAAGCCTGGTGGATGCATCCCCAGAGGTGCTCTCCAGGGCACAGAGTAGGAAGGTAAAGTGGAGGCTGGGTCTGTGGGTAGACAAGATAGCCAGCACATGGTGGAGTTCCCATTCAGTCCACGGGATCTTCTGCCCATCCTTAGAGTGCAGGGACTCCTCTAACCACAGCCCCTCGTCCGCTGCCCCCGCTGCTTCAGCCGGCTCCTGCCCTGTAGAGTTCTCGGGTTGTGTGAGTCAGTTGCCATTTCCCCACATCCAGGAAACACATATTACTCAAAGTCAGCGATTTTCAACCCTTTTCATCTCATGGCACACATACACTAATTATTTAAAGTCTGCAGCACACCACCACAACAAAGAAAATAGGTATAATTTTGATTCATCCACATTGGACAGCTATTGTGTTGGCTGTTGTCATTTTTTTATTTGACAATCTAAGGGAAAAGAGGTCAGTGCCCCTGACTAAATAGTCAGGTATTGCATGTTTTAACCATTCTTGCAGCACACCAGTGTACCTCTCGGGGCGCACGGGGTTGAAAATTGCTGCTCTAAGTAATTCCGTTGAACCTCCTACCCCAGGCCCGAGGTGGGGTTAAATCCTTCCCGGCCTTTCTCTTTTGTAGGGAGGATGAGGCTCACAGCACAGCAGTAGCTTTCTCCACCTGTTCTGCTTTACTTTCCCACTACCTCCCCTTTGATGCCTTCAATGTGGGTGAAGAGGTGAAGGCCACCACACCCAGGTCATGCGCAGGGGTCTCACACCTCACTCTGGAGTAGATCAGCCATGACTAGGACTGCGACAGAAGCTGGGACTGAGTTAGTTCTAGTTTAACACCTGTTACAAACATCACATGCAATCCATATCCCGAAAACTTTATATATTTAGATTAACATAAGCACATCCCTAACTCCCCCCAAATTATCTCAATGGGAATGGTGGAAGATTGCTTTTTATTTGGGATTACTTTCTATTTGGAGGTATAAGACATGCTTTCTTTGGAAGTTTTTCTGATGTAGAAACATGTTAGTGATTTCCATGAAATTTATCCAGATGTTATTTAGCTTTAAAAACTAACACCTAAATTGGGTAAATAACGCTACTTCAAGTTTGGTAAGGTGTGCCTAAATTAAAGATAAAGTTCATACTAGAACATTTTTTCATTCAAGCCCTGATAAGTTCAATAGAGTCTCTTTTATGGAATAAGTAATTTCACATTTGATTTTCTTAGACTTTTTAATTTGTCCCAATGGTGAGTTTCTTTTAGAATGAGCTCTAGGACATGTTCTCTTTCGTGTGTATGATCACCAAAGCAGACATGTTCTAGAAACACATCTTGTCTGGTCTCCTTGTCTAGTCAGAGGACTGGTGAGAAAAGGGTCTTGTCCTCTGCATTTGGAAACAAGGCATTAAGCTGTCACTCTCCCAGCATTTTCCCAATACCTACCCCAGAGTTTTCCGTTTTGAATGGGTTCAGTGAAACTCTGAAGCCTTAATGTGTGGCACATGTCCATGACCTTGATAAATGACAAATATTAAATTTTGTCTCTTCTGGTGCAGCTGTGTTGTCATTTTGCTCTGTGTTCACTGGTAACTTTAGCTTTCTTTAGGTTATTGATGTAGTTTCATGTGCTACCATTTTAGCTAAAGCCTCTTTTGTTCTCTCTTGTGAGTCTCCTAAGAATGGACCCATTTTGAGAACCAGTGGTTCCTGGGGTGTGGTGGGCGCAGGGATGGATAGATGGGGCACAGGGCATTTTTAGGGCATTGAAAGTATCCTGTATGATACTGTAATGGTGGACATGTATTTGCCCAAAATCTATAGAACTCTGCAACACAAAGAGTGAACCCTGATGTAAACTATGAACTTTAGTTAATAAAAATATATCCACGTTGGTACATCTACACAATGGAATACTACGCTGCGGTAAAAAAGAAGAAACTCTTGCCATTTGCAACAGCATGGATGGAACTGGAGAGCATTATGCTAAGTGAAATTAGCCAGTCAGAGAAAGATA